TAGTTCACTGTAAGTAACCATTGTAAATCTAGTTCACTGTAAGTAACCTTAGTAAATCTAGTTCACTGTAAGTAACCATTGTAATTCTAGTTCACTGTAAATAACCATTGTAAATCTAGTTCACTGTAAGTAACCATTGTAAATCTAGTTCACTGTAAGTAACCATTGTAAATCTAGTTCACTGTAAGTAACCATTGTAAATCTATTTCACTGTTAGTAACCATTGTAAATCTTGAGTTAACTGTCATCAAGCCCATTCCTCTCACCATCTCCCCAGCTGTAGATCTCTCCATCAGTTGACATGGCTAAGGTGTGACCATCAGACCCCTTTGATGAAGAGATCTTCTTTATTTTCCTGTTGGGTTCAAAGTTCAGTTTCTTTGGTGTCGTTTGATTGTTGGAGTCTCCGAGACCCAAGCGTCCGTAGCTCCCCTTGCCACAGGCACTGACAGAGCCCTCAGTATGTATACCAAAGGAGCAGAACTGACCTGCTTCAATCTACAACATCACAAACCATATCCTTTGATTGACCTCAGAACTGACTCACCTCAACCTGTACAATCAAAATTACTAGACAAGATAGCTGTCAGGGTATTTGTATTCGGAAAATCCACAAAATTATATGTATAATAGCTATATTGATAAGCATTTGCATGTGTATATCCATTGTCCAAACCTTTACTTTTTTCAACCTTAAACATTTTATTCATAAAACCCATGAAAAACGCCATCGTTGAGGTGAAAACATAGGGGCGTAAAGGGTGGTTTCTGGCCTCATCAGGGATTTTGAATTAGTTGTTATATTCGTAATCTGGAATAAATGAAGTACGTATACGCAAAAATGAAATTTCAACTGGTTTAAGATATTTGGCATTACAAAATGAGACATAAACCCACATTTGTGTAACAAAATGCGTAAATATTGACTGTTGTGCGCTATTTGCTTGAAAATTGGTCAATTTGAAGGAAAATAACTAAACACTTTTCAATTTTTGAAAGCCTCTGCATGCAACAAACAAATAAATATTTGACATGCTTAAACATTGTCATACCAGTGTTCATTCGTAGAAAGGAATTTTTGTTTGTCACATACGGAGGGTTTCACTTCTTCATGCTAACTGTCCAAAAAACAAATTTTGGCCATTTCTGCATAGCAACGCAATTTTGTTGCTAAGGTAGGGCATCAATGGATGCTTACTAAGTTTGCAGTTATGCCTGTCAAATGGATGGTTACTGGGTGGGGATCTCAACCATTTCAAAGTTAAGGCCCAAAAGTTAAGTCCCTAGGGTTGGGACCAGACCCAAGTGTCAATATTAATATCATGGATGAGTTTATCTCTTGGTGCCCAGCAATGGTAAATATGGTTAAGGGGTGGGGATCTCAACCATTTTAAAGTTATGGCCCAAAAATTAAGTCCCTAGGGGTGGGGCCAGACCCAAGTGTCAATATTAATATTATGATTGAGTTTGTCTCTTGATGCCCAACAATAATATATATGGTTATGAGGTGGGTATCTTAATTGTTTCAAAGTTATTGCTAAGAAATCAAGTCCCTGAGATGGGGCCAGACCCCAGAGTCAATGCTTTTATCATTATTGTGTTTATTTCTTGATGCTCAGCAATTGTTCACATGGTAATGAGGTGGAGATCTCCGTAATGTCCAAATTGAAATATTTTTTTGGCCTCGCCTCAACGACCCAGGGGTCAGCCCTTCAACTGGTAAATTTTGAATCCTTAATCACTGATATTGCTCCAAACCAAATATGGTTGATATCTATCACTTTGTTCCAGAGAAGATGTCACTTTAAGCAATATAGCAAAACTATCGCTTTTTGCCCCGCACCTCAGCTCCCAGGGGAGCCACACCTTTCATTTATACAAAAGTGAATTCCTTTTGCCCCAGGATGCTCTAGACTAAACTTAGTTCGAATCCCTCCATTGGTACAGAAAAAGGAGAATTTTAAATAATATACTTTAATTTCCACTATTAGGGACTCAATTTTGTCCCCTTTACCCAAGGATGATATACATCATATATGGTTTGGATCACTCCATTTATACAAAAGGAGAAGGATTTTAAACATTTTTCAATGTTATCCCTAATGGGCCCTACCCCTAGGGGAGCCACACCCTCCATTTATACCATTTATACAAAATTGAATTCCCCTTGCCCAAGGATGTTCTAGACAAAATTTTGTTAAACTTCCTCCATCTGTACATGTACAGAAGGAGAAGAAATTTCAAGATTTACCTCAATTTTCCCTAATGGGCCCCGCCCCTCTGCCCCAAGGGACCACACCCGCTGTTTATACCAAATTGAATCCCCTTTGGCTGAGGATACTCTAGGTCAAATTTATTTAAAATCCACAAAGCCATTCAGGGCAAGTAGCGTTTTAAAGGAAAAGTTGACGGAGGGAAGACGGCCGCTGCACCATGGCATAAGCTCACTTGCCCTTCTGACAGGTCAGCTAAAAATGAAAACAATACTTTCATAGTATGCAACTCTGAAGGAGAGCTGATACATGTGAATCCAACAGCAAGGTAGTTTATATCCTGAAAGTATCTGAAGCACTATTTTTTGTACAATGTTGAATTCGGTTCCAGGTAATCACATTTTGACACATAGGTCTACCTAATTTTTATATCCTGCGTATATGTATAATGTAGAGAAAATCTTCCATTTAGTTATAATATAAGCTTTATCTATTTAACAACAATTATGAAACAAGTTTTTACAACTTATACCAATCACTCTTGTTGGCCCGGATGTTAGCACGCGGGGGGTCTAACTGTGGGAGGAAACCGGAGTACCCGGAGAAAACCCAAGTGGTCGGGCAGGTGACCCAATATCTTTTCACATCTGATCGGGGAATCGAACCCTGGCCATCTTGGTGAAAGGCAAGTGTTCTACGCCACCCGACCACCCTTACATTTAGTTATCTCATTCACTCCTTAAGACATATTTGAACTCTTCCAATTCAAAGGTTGAAATAGTTCATTATGGAATTTCAGGGGTGAATGAGTTAACAAATCACCTAATGAGGAAAACTGCTGTTTACCTGATGGCAGTCTGTAAAAGATGTAGCTTGCTTTGGTGCAAGTATTTTCTCCTGTCTATCCTCGGCTAGCTGGTGGCTACTGTTGCTACCCCAGATGTAAACATCACAGCTGCCAGTACCCATGTTGTTGTTACTGTTGGACGTCAAGGAGTTGTTTGAATTCTCGTCAGGACCCAGACAACAGTTACTCTCATAATCTGCAGCCAAGCTGTACAGCTGAAATCAATGTTACAATAAGACTGTATGAGAACTATCAAATCAAATATGAAGACAGAAAGAAAATGCATTGCATGGTTAACATTGTCAATTTGGTGTGAGATAAAAGTGGGGAACAATATGATTTCATATTCAATATATTACGATCTTGGCCGAGACACATCAGCATACAAAAAAATGTATCTACTTATAATATCAGATTTCAGAATTTCAAATGACCAATTATTATTTACAAATTTTATTTTATTATTTCAAAATCTATGTGTAGCCAACCTCAGCATAATGGTCTGAGGGATGACCATCAAAATTAAACACGCAAAAACATCATTAAATACCAAAATTTGACTTATCAAAATGTAACCGTCCCAGTTGGTGCCAAAAAATGCCAAAATCATCCACAAGTATGTTACCAATGTCATACTGACCAATCAGAATGGCATTGTATATTCACTAAATTCACAAAATCCAATAGTTATGATAAATACCACTAAAATGGTATACTTCACTCATTAGGCAGATCTTATTCAGCAAGATGTTTGTCATCTGCAATACAGCTGACATATGAAGTAAACAGGAAATCTTCAAATATCTTCTATACAAGAGGCCTGATGGGCCTGTATTGCTCATCTGGTATTAACCTTGCACTTGTACCCTTAGAAGTAGACCAAGGTAAATAGATAGACTAACTAAAGCAACAGCTAAATATCAATACCTATGACTTCTGGATTTAACTCATATATACCTGACTGAAGTCTAACAAGGTCATTCATTTGAACAAAATTGGCAGCACTTCATCCAAGCATGCTACTGGCCAAATATCATCACTCTTCTTGGCCTTTTGGTTGTGGAGAAGAAGTCATTAAAGATTCTAATACATTTGACCTATGTGACCTAGAAAGTGGGGAAGTAACTTGTTTCGCCAAATTTAGTAACCCTTTATCCCAGCATGCTGCAGGTCAAATATCATCATTGTATGTTATTGAGGTACCTGTAAGTTGTTTTGAGATTTAAAGATTGGTTAAATTCCTTAATTTTAACAAAATTTGAACAAACTTGATTAGTCATCATCTGTGCATGCTACTTGCCATATCATTAATCTCGACTGACTGAACTTAGCATGTATAGATGCCAAACATTTGTGTTTATGTGAGCACTGACCATTGACCTACAGCTACTTAACCCTTTCACCACTGTAGACCATAATGGACTCATCCATATCAATGCATGGTAGAGTCTACTAAAGTGACATAGGGGTAAAAAGGTTAAAACAGGCAAAACTACAGCCCTACCTCTTCCAAAAGAACAACTGCAGCTAGGTAGAGAGGGACAAGGCCATTATCATCTACTGGTGGGTTCCTCGCAAACATAGAGGTTAGTGTGGAGGATCCTCGAGCTCCCTGTAAATAAACATACAATTGATCTTTCGAGTCTTGTTTATGAATTCAATAAAGATTTAAAACACATGTGATGTTTTGAACTAGACAATGATGTCTTATTTATATTAACTCTGCGTCTTTGATTTATATTCATTAGTCTTAGTTATATAAACCCCATATCTTAGTCTTATTGACATTAGCCCTATGACTTAGTCTTATTAACATTAGCCCCATATCTTTGCCTTATTGACATTAGCCCCATGTCTTAGTCTTATTGACATTAGCCCCATGTCTTAGTCTTATTGACATTAGCCCAATGTCTTAGCCTTATTGACATTAGCCCCATGACTTAGTCTTATTAACATTAGCCCCATATCTTTGTCTTATTGACATTAGCCCCATGTCTTAGTCTTATTGATATTAGCCCCATGTCTAAGTCTTATTGATATTAGCCCAACGTCTTAGTCTTATTGACATTAGCCCCATATCTTAGTCTTATTGAAATTGGCCCCATGTCTAAGTCGTATTGATATTAGCCCAACGTATTAGTCTTATTGACATCAGCCCAATATCTTAGTCTTATGGACAGTAGCCCAAGGTCTTAGTCTTATTGTCATTAGCCCCATGTCTTAGTCTTGTTGACATTAGCCCCATCTCTTAGTCTTCTTGACATTAGCCCAATATCTAAGTCTTATTGAGATTAGCCCAACGTCTTAGTCTTATTGATATTGGCCCAACGTCTTAGTCTTATTGAAATTGGCCCCATGTCTAAGTCGTATTGATATTAGCCCCACGTCTTAGTCTTATGGACAGTAGCCCAAGGTCTTAGTCTTATTGACATTAGCCCAATATCTTAGTCTTATTGACATAAGTCCCATGTCTTAGTCTTATTGACATAAGCCCTATGTCTTAGTCTTATTGACATTAGCCCCATATCTTAGTCTTATTGACATTAGCCCCATGTCTTAGTCTTCTTGACATTAGCCCCATGTCTTAGTCTTCTTGACATTAGCCCAATATCTTAGTCTTATTGACATTAGTCCCATGTCTTAGTCTTATTGACATTAGCCCTATGTCTTAGTCTTATTGACATTAGCCCCATATCTTAGTCTTATTGACATTATTCCCATGTCTTAGTCTTATTAACATTAGCCCCATATCTTAGTCTTATTGACATTAGCCCCATGTCTTAGTCTTATTAATATTAGCCCCACGTCTTAGTCTTATTGACATTAGCCCCATGTTTTAGTCTTATTGACATTAGCCCAATGTCTTAGTCTTATTGACATTAGCCCAATGTTTTAGTCTTATTGACATTAGCCCCATGTCTTAGTCTTATTAATATGAGCCCCACGTCTTAGTCTTATTGACATTAGCCCAATGTCTTAGTCTTATTGACATTAGCCCCATTTATTAGTCTTATTGACATTAGCCCCATGTTTTAGTCTTATTGACATTAGCCCAGTGACCTTGTTTAATTAATATTAACCCTGTGTCCTTGTTTGATTTACATAACCTCAGGTCCTTGTTTGATTTACATAACCTCATGTCCTTGTTTGATTTACATTAAACCCATGTAATTATTTGATTTACATAACCTCATGTCCTTGTTTTATTTATATTAACCCTGTGTCGTTGTCTTATCTACATTAACCCTGTGTCCTAGTCTCTTTTCCATAAACCCTGTGTCATAGTCTGGTTTCCATTAACCCTGTGTCCTAGGCTGTTTACATTACCCTGTGTCCTATTCTGGTTTACATTACTCTGTGTCCTAATCTGCTTTACATTACCCTGTGTCCTAGTCTGGTTGACATTTACCCTGTGACCTTGTTTTATTCAATTTAACCCTGTGACCTTGTCCAATTAGCTTTTACCTCATGCCCTTGTCTTATCTACATTAACCATGTGTCCTAGTCTGGTTTGGATTAACCCTGTGTCCTAGTCTGTTTACATTAACTCTGTGTCCAACTACTTTACATTAACCCTGTGTCCTAGTCTGTTTACATTAACTCTGTGTCCAACTACTTTACAATAACCCTCTGCCCAACTGCTTTACATTTACCCTGTGTCCTAGTCTGTTTACATTAACCCTGTGTCCTAGTCTGGTTTACATTAACCCTGTGTCCTAGTCTGGTTTACATTAACCCTGTTTCCTAGTCTGTTTACATTAACCCTGTGTCCTAGTCTGGTTTACATTAACCCTGTGTCCTAGTCTGGTTTACATTAACCCTGTGTCCTAGTCTGGTTTACATTAACCCCGTGTCCTAGTTTGTTTACATTAACCCTGTGTCCTAGTCTGTTTACATTAACCCTGTGTCCTAGTCTGTTTACATTAACCCTGTGTCCTAGTCTGTTTACATTAACCCTGTGTCCTAGTCTGGTTTACATTAGCCCTGTGTCCAACTGCTTTACATTAACCCTGTGTCCAACTGCTTTACATTAACCCTATGTCCTAGTCTGGTTTACATTAACCCTGTGTCCTAGTCTGGTTTACATTAACCCTGTTTCCTAGTCTGTTTACATTAACCCTGTGTCCTAGTCTGGTTTACATTAACCCTGTGTCCTAGTCTGGTTTACATTAACCCTGTGTCCTAGTCTGTTTACATTAACCCTGTGTCCTAGTCTGTTTTACATTAACCCTGTGTCCAACTGCTTTACATTAACCCTGTGTCCTCGTCTGGTTTGCATTAACCCTGTGTCTTAGTCTGTTTACATTAACCCTGTGTCCTAGTCTTGTTTACATTAACCCTGTGTCCTAGTCTGGTTTACATTAACCATGTGTCCTAGTCTGTTTACATTAACCATGTGTCCTAGTCTGGTTTGCATTAACCCTGTGTCCTAGTCTGGTTTACATTAACCCAATGTCCTAGTCTGCTTTACATTAACCCTGTGTCCTAGTCTGGTTTACATTAACCATGTGTCCTAGTCTGGTTTACATTACTCTGTGTCCTAGTCTGTTTACATTAACCCTGTGTCCAACTGCTTTATATTAACCCTGTGTCCAACTGCTTTACATTAACCCTGTGTCCTAGTCTGTTTACATTAACCCTGTGTCCAACTGCTTTACATTAACCCTGTGTCCTAGTCTGGTTTACACCAACCCTGTGTCCTAGTCTGGTTTACATTAACCCTGTGTTGAACTGCTTTACATTAACCCATATATTACCACTGATTTGATCATCTGTGTCACAATGTTGGTGAAGAAGTTCCAGTTGATTTTCCCAGCTGGTGTTTTTGTCTGTCCTTTCTGATCACAGAGAACTGTGACAGATGTGTGCAGTGCCATATCAACCCACTCAAGAACATAGCAAAGTGAGCCACGCTGAGCAGCAAGCGAGATCATAAGTTCTGATGCAAGGCGCTGACCGTCTAAATCAGCTCCTGACTGAGGACTAGCTGCTTGTCGTAAAAACTTGTTGACTTCGTTCAGTGAATCAACACCTAGATGAGTGAGCTTTGCTTCATTAGCAAGAGACAGTGGTGGGAAAGAAGATACAACCGATATGGCTGTTTGTATGATGTCATTACATATACAAAACTGTTTTAACTGGCCAGCTAACATCCAATTTTGTTTCAACAATGAAAACAACAAACTTAACCCTGTTTTAACACCAAGTTCTAATAAAGCTGTGTTTCCCTGTGATTCCGACTCAGATGCAGCTACAACTCCTGTTTTCTCGGGCAGTTTTCCTGGTTGTCTGCTTCCAATAAGCTCAGATTTATCTATCTGTGTACTGGACATGAATTTGTTGTGATGTTTGACAGATACAGCTGTGTATATTCTCTGAAGAACCACAAGTCTCTTACGAAGAGACTTTGAGAAATTGGATAAACTGCACACAGTCTTAGCTAGATTGAGTTGGGAAGCCAGTAGAGCGTTAATTAAATGTTCTTGTTCATCTGCTGTAATTCCGTCATTGTCAAAATCTGGGAGAGTTGGACCTCGCAAGTTGATAGCCTGCAATGGCAACTCGGTGACCTCTTTATTGGTGAGAAGTCGTTCATAGCAACCATCCATGCCACTGGGCATTGTTATAATTTCACAGTCTTCCAACACCCAACTGGAGTGGAAGTGCTCCCCAAACTTGGTATGTAGGTGCCCATTCCCAGCCATGTTGTCTGAAATATTAAAAAACAAACTTATTTGTAGATTTACTTTTACAAGTTTTATTACGAATGGCTTCAACCACAGGGGCTTGTATATACTATATATCTATACAAGCCCCTGTGCTTCAACTAAGCTTTCCTGACTTCTGAGCATATTTATATATAAGCACAGAGGATATTTAAACTAGATGACCATCAATAACCAACCAAAATATCTTGAGACCAGACATAAATTCATGAACATTAACACTACCTGGTCATTTAACTACTGTGTTTTTGGGTAAGTTGCCATTTGCTATTAAACACAAGTACATATATCTCCAGGTTTTCAAGCCTCTTGTAATTTAATACTGCTCTGTAAGTTTATATTATCGATCAATAATCTGGCTATGTACTATTTTAATAGCCAGTGTACAAGTTCAATATATTTAAATTACAGATATATACTGTAATTAGTTCCGATTTTTAATTGAGCTCTTTGAATTTGACTATTCCGACAGCTCTAGATGGAGCATAGGTGTTTGAAATTCTGACTGTAAATTGAGATAAAAATCATATAAAAAACTAAGGGTGTTACTTCCTTTTTTATAGTAATACCCTTATTTTTCAGTCCGAATTTCCTCTGACCCTGACACCAGACTTATCCACATATATCTATCAAAATGCGTAAGACGGTGTCAGGGCCAGAGGAAACTGGGGCTATAGATCTGTACTGTATACATTGCTAGACGTACAGTCAGATTGAATTAGTGGCCCAAGTGACCCGAAGATTTACCGAGTTTAACTAATACCTACAGCCGCTAAAAATATTATCTCCCTCAAGCGATGAAGTTAACTGAAGTCTATCCCATTTCTTTCAATGATTTTTATGGCACAGTCAGAAATGTTCTAGACAGAAACAATTAATGTGACCTGTCCGAAGACATCATAATAACATTGGTTTAAGTCAGCTCTAAGCCACTTCCGGTTGGTTTTGTTATTTGGGTAGGGCTAATATCCGGACAACCAAACATGTCTTCGACTTAACTGTGTAAAATAGTCCCTGATAACAAGAAATGTTCGTGTCTGGTCAGCCTGGAAATTCTTACGCCCTCTTATTTTCTTATGTCATGACGAAATCGAAGGCTCTTTACGCGTCACCTTGTTGATTGTACAAGTAGATTTGTTCATCCTTTCATGTAATATATCAAAAGAATAACGAGGCAGCTAACGGTAAAATTGACCGATTTTGAAGTTCAGTGTGGCTTCCCTGTAATCTTCAATTAAAGGACATGTACATTGTGTTAGCGATTGGCCTAAAACCAGTCGGATAGCTATAATCATATGTCTTTGATTTTGACGTGGCATATTTCAGTAGCCATATGACTTATCAGTCCTGTGATTGGTTGAAAGTTTCAATGTGTTTCAATTGTGACGTCACGTCTAGGGCAAGAACATGACGTCACACACTTACGCATTGGAGTCAAAATGGCGGCATTATACATTTCAAGGTTGCATGGAAATTGTCGTTTTACAAGAATAAATGCCACAAATCTTGATTTTGTGATAAAAGGGATCTTACACTTGTTTTCATTTCATATGAAATTCATGAAACTCATCACGAATTTTTCATTTTAGATGTGACAGAGAAATCTCCAATCCTCGGGGTGAGTTTTTTGGTTTTCTAACCCTCAGCAGAGACTCAGGTTAGACAACCAAAAAACATCACCTTCGGGTTAGAGATTTCTTTGTCACATCCCCAAGGTAGGGAGATATTTTATTAATCTTACATTCCATTTCACGTGGTGTGAGGTCACAATGGCTCAACAATGACTTGACGTCACGAATTTGGAAATCTCCGATGCCGCAATGCTGAAAAGGCGACGTGTTGAAATTAAAACCTTTTACGATATATGTTCCGTATACGTTAGAAAGATGTGATTATTTTTTCTGTGCAAACCCTGCTAGCAAAGCCTCGGGTTTTACCAAATTTGAAAGCCCTTCGGTAGGAATTTCCGTATCCTTCATCCCTGGACATAAAAGAGTCTTATAATGTGTCCCTGACGACAATGTAGTTACATAGCAAAAATGTGCACTGAACTGTAGGGATCAGAATAAACAAAATCAAAATATTCTAAATAATGTGGTATATAGCTGCAGAAAATTCGAGCTGGCTTCAGTGAATGTATTGTAAACACTATGATGACACGAGTTAACAGTAACGTCACAGTTGCGTCACAACATGTTGTGATCGTCAATTTGACATTTTAAAGTATGCGATACATAGGTTACTTCTCCTTTCACAAACAGCAACAAAATACGTATTGTCTGATCAATATATACGTACTTATCAGTATCAACTGATCAACTAGTAACCAAGCGCAAATACTACATGGAAACTATATTTTCAGTTCGAGACAAATTAAGATATCACAATAATATGTAGGATATCGAAGAATTTCATCAATAACATCGACTGGTAGAAAATTTAAGAATTGTTACTAGACAAAAGAATCTGCCGGAGATACGACAAAAAGCATTTGGTATTTATTAGATTAATTGTTTGTGTAAACTTAAAGGGGCTGGTCGGGGAAAAAATTACAAAATAAATAGGTCTAAATGCGTTCTCTGGCCTTCCAAATGCGTTCTCTGGCCTTCCAAAAGTGATACCACGGCAATATGATGGTCGAGTTCTGCTTGCAATGTCCAGTTTTGCGCAGATCTATTTATATATGTCACGTGTTTTTTTCGAAAGTGAGGCAGTGAAGATAACAACAATAGCATGCATCTTTTTCTTTGTTGATGACGCGCGTGCGGCAAAATTACATCACTGATCTGGGTCAATTGAGAGTTTTAGACTGTCAGGTGACGATTTAGGATTTCTTTAATATAATTATATTTTTACTCTTAGGGAGTGAATTTCAGCAAAATTTGTATCGGTATATTTCATAAGAAGGTATTTTAAACATGTGTATGCCATTTTAGCAAATATGACATTTTTTCCCCGACCAGCACCTTTAAAACATCAATGCAGTCAAGGAGCAACGCATGTTGCCGTGTTTTGCGACCCTGTACGACCGGAAGGACGGACGTTTTTGAAGCCTTCATCTAGCTAAAATCAATTCAAACTCCTCCCCCGCACTTTTCGTACTTTGTGTTGCCATAACGGCTCGCACTGCTCGAGAGTGACAGCTACTATAAGGGAGACAGATAACATGCTGCTGCTACCTGTGGTAGCTATATACTATGAGGGAGACAGAGCACGTGCTACTGTCCCCTGAGGTAACTATATACTATGAGGAGGCCAGAGAACGTGCTACTGTTCCCTGTGGTATACGTAGCTATCTACTATGAGGGAGACAGAGAACGTGCCACTGTCCCCTGTGGGAACTATATACTATGAGGAGGCCAGAGAACGTGCTACTGCTACCTGTGGTAGCTATATACTATGAGGGGGAAAGAGAACGTGCTACTGTCCCCTGAGGTAACTATATACTATGAGTGCGACAGAGAACGTGCTACAGTCCCCTGTGGTAGCTATATACTATGAGGTAGACAGATAACGTGCTAGTGCCCCCTATGGTAGCTATATACTATGAGGGAGACAGAGCACGTGCTACTGTCCCCTATGGTAACTATATACTATGAGGAGGCCAGAGAACGTGCTACTGCTAACTGTGGTAGCTACATACTATGAGGGAGACAGAGAACGTGCTACTGCTACCTGTGGTATACGTAGCTATATACTGTAAGGGAGGCAGAGAACGTGCTACTTCTAACTGTGGTAGCTACATACTATGAGGGAGATAGAGAACGTGCTACTGTCCCCTGTGGTATACGTAGCTATATACTGTAAGGGAGACAAAGAATGTGCTACTTACTGCCCCATATGGTAGTTAATTATATACTATGAGGGAGACAGAGAACGTGCTACTATCCCATGTGGTGGCTATATACTATAAGGGAGACAATGAACGTGCTGCAGTCCCCTGTGGTAGCTTTATACTATAAGGGAGACAGAGAACATGCTACTGTCCCCTATGGTAGCTATATACTATAAGGGAGACAGAGAACGTGCTACTATCCCATGTGGTGGCTATATACTATAAGGGAGACAATGAACGTGCTACAGTCCCCTGTGGTAGCTTTATACTATAAGGGAGACAATGAACGTGCTACAGTCCCCTGTGGTAGCTTTATACTATAAGGTAGACAATGAATGTGCTACTGTCCCCTATGGTAGCTTTATACTATAAGGGAGACAGAGAATGTGCTACTGTCCCCTATGGTAGCCTTATACTATAAGGGAGACAGAGAACGTGCTACTGTCCCCTGTGGTAGCTATATACTATAAGGGAGACAGAGAACGTGATACTGCCCCATGTGGTAGCTTTATACTATAAGGGAGACAGAGAATGTGCTACTGTCCCCTATGGTAGCTTTATACTATAAGGGAGACAGAGAACGTGCTACAGTCCCCTGTGGTAGCTATATACTATAAGTGAGACAGATAACGTGCTACTGTCCCCTGTGGTAGCTATATACTATAAGGGAGACAGAGAACGTGATACTGCCCCATGTGGTAGCTTTATACTATAAGGGAGACAGAGAATGTGCTACTGTCCCCTATGGTAGCTTTATACTATAAGGGAGACAGAGAACGTGCTACAGTCCCCTGTGGTAGCTATATACTATAAGTGAGACAGATAACGTGCTACTGTCCCCTATGGTAGCTATATACTATGAGGTAGACAGATAACGTGCTACTGTCCCCTATGGTAGCTATATACTATAAGGGAGACAGAGAACGTGCTACTTCCCCCTGTGGTAGCTATATTCTATAAGGGCGACAGAGAACGTGCTACAGTCCCCTGTGGTAGCTATATACTATAAGTGAGACAGAGAACGTGTTACTGCCCCCTGTGGTAGCTAGCTATACACTATAAGTGAGACAGGTAACGTGCTTCTGCCCCCTATGGTAGCTATATACTATGAGGTAGACAGATAACGTGCTAGTGCCCCCTATGGTAGCTATATCTACTGCCCCTTATGGTAGCTATATACTATAAGGGAGACAGAGAACGTGCTACTGCCCCCTGTGGTAGCTATATACTATGAGAGACACAGAGAACCGCCCTTGACGTTATCATAACGGTACCACCCGGTTAGGGTGGGGCTGCAGGGTGGTGTGGGTTGGTGGTAAGGATTATATAGGCGGGGGACTGCGCCAAAAGCGGCACTTTCCTACTACTTAGTTTGATCGAAAACCTCAACATTAGTGAAAGTGATGAACTGTATGCTTACTTGTATGATTATGAAAAACTATAAATGTATCATGTACCAGTAGATCGATTTAGTAAGGACGAGTCCAAACCAAATAACTTTGGGTATAAATTAATTGATCTATGTAAAAGAATGTATTTGAATATCGCCAATGGGAGGATCGGAAAGGACAAATATATTTGTAAAACAACCTGATACTAGTTTAATTGACTATCTGATTTTATCTGCGGACTTATTCAGTATTATAAAAGAGTTCCAAGTATGTGATTTTGATCCTGTATTGTCTGATGTACATTGCCGTTTTTAATTTGAATGTGGCTATAACACACAAAAACACAATTTAAAACAGGCAAGGAATTATGATAATATGCAAGAAAAGGGTGGGAAATGGAAATCTAATCTGAAAGAAAATTTTGTAAAGTTCTTTCAAGAAAATGATAATGATCAACTACGTAGGTTACAGCTAAACCTAGATAACATTACTGATAAGGGAGAGTTAAATAAAGTGAAATTGAGAACATATTTGGGCATATATGTAAATCTGTGTTTGATAAAAAAACACCACACAGGTAAAAACAAAAATAATACTTTGAATAAGCCATTGATTGAACTATTCAATTACTTTAAAAATCTTAACACAGACGAAAACGAAGTTGAAGACTTTGAGCTACCAGTTATAGCAGATAGTATTTATGA